TTTTTTTTTTTTTTTTTTTTTTTTTTTTTTTTTTTTTTTTTTTTACTTTTTGCGGAGAGGAAGTAGTACCACAGTACCTTCTGAAAAGAGTCTTCATCTGTTATGTCGTATACTAAAATAGCTCCATTAGAATCTCTGTAGTAAATTGGACCCAATGCATGAAATCTCTCTTGGCCTGCCGTATCCTGCATTGATAAAACACATTTACATTAACGTTCATTAAGACAGAACTCCAAAGAAAGCATTCTAGAACAAAGTTAGAAATAGAACTTTGCTAGAATTCAGTCTTCATTACGAGTTCCTATGCTTAAAAGTATTAAGCAAAAGATTTGCTTTGTTCACTGAAACTCCATTTAAGCATTCTTAAAACTTCAGTCCCCCCCACCCCCCAAGTCAATTGAAATAAGATAATGAAAGTTAACATACCCATATTGCAAGGTTTACTCTTTTTCCACCAATGTTTAGCTTCTTTGTAAGAAAGGATGCCTAAAAACAAAGAAATATTAAACATTGCAAATGAACTGCAGTGACTTTATTAGCATGACTAATAACTTTAAGAGTAGCCAGCTACTTATATGAATACCCTGACCCCAGAAAGGAGCTAGCACTTTTTTCTTTTTTAAAAAAAAAATTCTTAGCATGTTGGTAGGAAAGAAAACACGATTAACCAATCCAGACAGAAAACAACAACAACCACCACCACCTAAGATCAGAACACAGATCAGGTAATGTACACAGAACAAGTAATTTATCAAAGGATTAATTAGCCAGTTCTGTAGAAGCCAGAGAACCGAGGATCTCAAAAACAGGTTGAGAATTATCTGGTTTTGCTTGGCTAGCTACTTTCTTAAACAATTTTTGGCTCCAACCATTCTGACTGGCCAAATGGTACCAGTTTTGCCAGAACAACATTTCATCTGTCTGCTTAAAAATATCCCTATCAGACTGTCAGCCAGGAAAGTATTTTGCTGTAGTCCAACCTGAACGAAAGCTAGCCTCATGCAGTAGTTTCCAAATTACTTGTTTTGCTGCTACTATTTTTAGTTTCAGAAATGTTAATCTGAAGGCATCACTTACTTTATCCCTGGATAAAGTCTGACTATTCTAGATTAAATAGAAGACAGCAACATTTACTTCCATATATCCACTAGATTAGCCTTAAACATGAGTCTAGAAGTTGCCATTCTTTAAACCTCTTCTCTACCGACCATTCCAGGGCTATCCAACTGGTGGCCTGCAGGCCACATGCAGCCTATGCAGGATTAAACTGCAGCCTCAAGATACCCTATTGGTCATTGCTTCCTTTATGGCTCTGGCTCCTGCTGCCCTCAGAACCCCTGGGCTTCCACTCCCCTTGGGGTCAGGGCAGCAAGTCTGTGGGAGCCTCCAACTCTGGGATCCAGGTGGCTCCTTGAGGAAGGCAAGTCCACACAGGAGCAGGACCTCCAGGTGGCTTGTGCGGCTGAGGGAGTGAGAAAGACCATGGGGAGGAATGGGAGTGCAGCAGAGGTGGGGGTAAGGGTAGCAGAGACCATACAGCAGGGGAACCCATGTGTTCTGCAACCCATGGTAGTCAGCCATGAAAAGAGTCAAGACACACGCACATACCTCCCCCCTTCAAACTGTAAGCCTGTCTAATGTGATACTTCCCTAAAACTTAATCTGTCAAAATATATGCATTTCTAAATGTGGTCCAAGCGATCCATTTTGGACTCTAAGAGCGGAACACATTTGTCTAAACATATAGGTGCACTGATATAATCTGTTGCCTAACGGATCAGCACTAATAAGAGAGGGAAGTGACATTGTTGTCTACCGACTTTGAGTTGTTCTAGCCAATAGTGTTTTCTGATAAGTATGCCTTCTGGCCAGGGCCCTGGAGTCCCCTTTGCCCACAGGGTCGGGGCCCCTGGATGCTGGACTGAAGGGCTCCACACAGCCTGTTGCAGGCACGGCTAGGCTAGCCCTGCCTGCTGCAACTGGCACAGGCACTTTTACATGTGCTCTAGGTCCCACCAATTTTAATAAGTTTTAAAACCGATTTGTCATTCTTATTTCAAAATTCACTTTTATTTACTTCACTACAAAATTAACTCATTGACTCTTTTCAGGTGCTTCTCATCTTAAATTCAGAATGTGTTATATGCAAATGATGTCAATTTTAGTGTTATAATGTATATAGTGAACAGCACTAGTAACCTGATAGAAAGCAAATCCGTAAGTCTGCCTGCATACCAAGGTGCAGGGCAGGGCACCTAGCACAATCTGTAGGCAAGGAATTTTTTAGAGATACGATTGACAGACTGTGATTTAATTGGAAGATTTAAAGCTGTTTTTTTGAGATGGCGCAAGAGATTTTAGTTTATGATAAGAACATACCACAACCTTAAGGCTACTAAGCATTCAAGGTACTTGTGAACTGCTTATATATTGTTTTAAATAAAGCAAGCTTTTATGTAGCAGGCAGTAAAAATGAAAGATAAACCAGAAGAGGCTGACATGCACTACTTGGCCACATAGGTCAAGTACTGTAAGAAGAGCAGCCTTGTATAGAAGAATGTCACTGGTAGCAGAACAAGCATCTATTCTTTTTCCTTAAACTCCTAGGAAATGGCTCATTTCTCAAAATCTTTGAATTTGAATTACTGCTTTCTATTTAGAACCCCTGCTCCATGCAGGTGTGTTCACAGTATCTCGCACATCTAAATTATTACAAAAGCTTATGCCTCTCTGAATTAGTATACAAGGTGCCACTTTGTCCTGGCTTCTATAGTTATGAATTAGGAAGACAGACAGAGGGGAAGAAAACTAAAAAACTGTATTTTAAACTTGCTTTTCACAATATACATGGAAGAACCTAGAGGGAGAAAAACAGGATATTTGATACCTCTGTGTTTCCTGCCCCTTCTGGTAGTTTCTCAATAGGAAGTTCCATTCATTTAGAGCTTACAGAAAAATGCGCTGTAACAAACTTCTTAGAAAAATAGCACATTACAAAGCTGTTATCAATTTCTATGGGGGCTAGTTGTTTAATAAAAATAAAAGTTTGGGGACAAGAAATAAAACCCTGTTATGGCAAAACTTTCTTATTAGGAAAGTCAAAAAGGTATGCTAATTAAGACTACTAATTACGTAAAATTATATAAAAATAAATAAATGGCAAGTGATTTTAGTGTCCCTTCCCTTTGGAACATACTGGAGAAATGGAATCAAGAACTGATGCAGCCCATGTTCTTCTCTGAACTTCTACTTTGAAATTGGGCAGGCAAACAGTTTCTACACCTTTGGTGCTGGGAGAAGGTGGGGCAGGGTTAAAGACAACAACATTGCAAATAAAACTATTATTATTATTAGAGCATCACTTGCAATTCTTTGGGCAGAAGTAACCTGGTGGTGCCCATCTCGTCTTCAGGTGTGGATGGCTGTTGGCTATGGCGAGTTCATCCGCCCAATGACAGGTTTTGTTTTTAGTCCTGCTGGATCTCTGTAAGCTCCCCTTATCTGGCAGACCTAATGGGGGTGCTGGTTTAGTCACTGATGACCCAACTATGAGATGAATTGCATTAGGCTACATGGTACTAGTGGCAGGGTAAACCCTAACCTGACCATCTGGACCACCAACATAAGAAACTGGACAGGATTAAAACTGACTGATTGTACAAAGATTGCAAGAGACTAGGAAGAATGGAGGAAAGTTACTGGTACACCAAAGGTGCCCCAAGAGTCAGGATGGCCTTGGAACCAACCTGCCTCAACTTGATTACTAAATCAAATCAGCATATACATGGCCACACCATGACTTCAGATGTGGCTTACGTAAAGAGTAAAAATCAGGCCATTTGTACAGATTGTCAGCAGATTAAAACAGGTGGAAGTGTCATCCCCCACTCCACCCCGGTTTTAAAAATCTACACATTGGTACCTCCCCCAACATTTCTAGCCATCTGCCTTTCATGAGATTACTCCCATGGTAGAGATTATAGCATCAAAACAGTGGAATTCAAGTTTCCCCACAAGTAAATCCACAGGTGGTCTGAACATTTAGAAGCACAATTCTTGCATAGATACAGGAAATGGTAGGGCCTGAAGTAAATGATTTCTGACACCAGCCACCTATTTTCCTTCTAGTCTGAATGGGAGCTAGGTGAACTACATCTGCCATACATTAAAAAATTGATATTTAGTAGCAGCTGCAAAGAACTGGACTAGTTTCACATTTTATGTTCTGATTTAGATTTCAAAACCCAGATGGACAATATTCATTTTTCTTGACTTGGAAGTCAGTCATCGTTTGCATTCTGCCTCTAACTAGTGGAAACGTTAGAATTACAGTCCAACATAAAGCTTCTTTTCCTTTAAGCAACTTGAACTCTAGGCAGTTACACAGAAGAATAACCCTCCACCTGATTAACAAACTTCATTCTTAAAGTTGTGTGATGTTTTAGGGAGTGGGGAAAGCGAGAAAGTTCTCAGTGATCCCATACCTTTTATGATTTCTAGTATATTTTTGCTGAAGTGCACTACTGTATTACAATATTATACTGTTCTTCACAAACAAGACCAACATACAGCTTGTTTTTAAGTCAAGCTAACTTATTTCAAAATCTCATCACTTAGTTTTTGTATAATAGCATTTCTACCCCTGCAATCCTGAGAAAGCTCCTCAAACAAAAACAAAAACAAAAAGATGGCTATGCATGAGGAAAAATGACACTGTCAAAATGAAAGTGTTTTTGTAGAAACTTGTACTGACAATTCAGCTGGGCCAGTTCCTTGGGTCTAGGACAGGAGTAACAGAAGAAATCAATCTTCAAAATAGCCAACCACCTGATGACAAAAACATCCCCGTCCCCCCCCCAAGTGGCATGGAACAAGGGCTTAAACTTGGCTTTGTATGCAATAGGCTAGTGCCTTGGCCACCAGGCTTTTGGCTAACTTAAGACAAGCAACTTGCTCCTTTCTTCCACATTTCAGACAGAGCTTCGAAAACAAAGTCAGAGCTGTTCCGCACCAAACATTTCAAAACCTCAGTATTTGGGGGAAAAAAAAAAGTTTCAAGCAAGCCCTAGAGAATTAGGGCAAGGTAACTTTGGACAAAAATAAAACCTGCGTTTGTTTTTGTCTGTTTCAGAGCTTTAGTAGAATCTCAGTCAAGTCATGAGCTTTAAATAGAAGCAGCTACTTCCTCTACAGTACAGAGTTTTTGAAACACTATAGTACTTTTTGAATTGGGCTTCCAAAACACGAGGTCAGCAGAAGACAGTAATCTCTCTCTAACAACTCTTTGAAATATGCCATCACTACTAATGATTCACTGAACTCTGTGGTGTCTTATGACTTCTCCTAGTCTTTTTCCTTGTTATAAGCCTTTGATCTCTGATGAACACCTCAGCCTAAATCAACCAAAATGTTTTTTAAAAGGGGGGGGAAGGGGAAGTCAGATATTAAGAAGTGATATTCTATGTACATACCAAGCAGGGGCAAGAGCTTCTTCTATACTTCAACCCGTGTGACACTTACAAAGGCTTAAGAATTTAAGAGCAGTTTTATGAAAAAGCTAATCACAGTTCCTCTATAGCAGTTAGACTGGAAAATGAATGCAACTGCAGGGAGGAACAAATAAGGTATTCAATGGAAAACAAATAGAGTTCCCTTCCACCGGTTAAAAGCACTCTACCACTATCACAAAGGCTATATTTCATTATAGAATCAATCCATATATTCAGAAATCATGCTGAACTACTACAGACACCACAGAACAAGAGCTAGACATCTGCAAGGTAACAAGCTATAATATATCTTGCTGAATTAGAGCCATAATACAAAACTAAACTCCTGTCTTAAATCTGTCTTTTATTGCTAAGAATCCATTCAAGCATTATCCAATCCTACCCATTTCACTGCTTGATCATAAGATTGGGAAGAAAGTGAGTGTTCATTGCCCATTTTAAAGCAGGCACACCACCAAATTACTATTTAAGACACATGCCACTGTGTGACTATATGGTAGTAAAAACAGCTTTAACTGCATCTGTCATGTATTCCCTTTCCTGTAAGAAGTTTTAAAATGTGAACTGTTTATAGACTAGATTCAACAGCACCTTAAAAGATTTAAAAACAAACACCTTGTACAGCTAAACACAAGTTTCTTTTTGGTTCTTCTCCCTTCCAGGTATCAGAATTTACTGAAGATTGGGTCATATTTCTTGTGGCCTACTCCCACAATTTTTGCTATTCAAAAATGTACTGTTTTACAGTTCTAAAGCAGCATCTTTCACATCTGTACATTGAGGATTTATTGCCAATCTCTTCAGACAGAAAGAAGACATGCCCCTTCCTACAAAACATCATTCAGAAATGTTATTCACAGGAAGCAAATCATGGTATCTTGGGAGCTCATTTATTTTTCTGCTTTTATTTATAAATACAGTTTAGGGGGGTTGTAGCTTGCTTCACTGCACTCAGTCTCCATACCATAACCAGTGATTCTGTACTGTAAGATTCACTTTTCAACTCCAAGTAATACCTCAGTTTAAGACTTCTAGTTAAAGAATTATACCAGGTGGGGAAAAAAAAAAGTCAGATGACAAGCAATTTTTGTCTTTCAGTTTCACATTCTTGTTTGGCTTTATATTGGATGACAGAGCTCTGTTATTCACAGGAAGCAGAAGATTTGTTTTTTTAAGCCTCACAAGACAGGTTTGGTTTTATCTCCATCCATTGCAGACACCTCTCCCTATAAGCTACAAAGTTACTTGTCTAATGAAGAAAAGAATAGACAACTGTCAACAAAGCTTTAAATAACTGTCAAAAGTTTAGAGGAAGCATTCTTTAAACAAGGAATGAGCCACGAACTCCAAATCTTCAAGGGGCTAACACAAAATGCTAGAGACTGAAGTAGTTCAGCAACAAAGCCAAACTAACCGTACAGCAGAGACATGTTCAGTCTGGGAGATGGGCACTGGGTTCAAAAGCCAGGTTAGCTGTACCTAGTCCACACTCCATGTAACTCATTTCTTCTCCCCACTCCCCCTAACCTTGCCTTTTGTCTGGCGTATAATTCATGCTATGACACTAGACTTCTTTCCCAGTGCAGTTTCAGGCCTTCTCTACCATTCATGGTCAACAGCGAAAGAAAAACTAGAGGCTCTTCAGCATTTGATCCATTTTGCCAAACCTTTCACTTCAGAAAAAGTGTGTTCCAGCCAAAGTTTGCCAGGAGGCTTGGCTCTAACCTAACCCACATGACCAACAGCATAGAGGTGCTCTAAGCCCGAACTAAGTTCTAAAAAAAGTGTTTTGCATGTATGATAAGGGAAGTTGAACTAAAAACCTAGGCCTACTCTATGAAGGCATGCCTTTAAATAGCTGAGGTTTCTCTATTTTTTTTCCCCCAAATGAAACTTCTTTTATCTACTTTATCTCAAACCTTAATGAAGTACTATACAAATATACAATAGAAAGCCATAAAAGTTCTTAATCAATGTCTTAATATCTCCCACATAGTTAAGAATGGAAGACTTCTTCAAAAAGATCTAGCTGTACATAGCCAGCCCAGGAAGTTTTCCTGGAGAATAAATATAAGACTGACTCATGGCTGATTTGTCGTTACCCCATACCAGAATGAGTGTAAGCTATAGTAGCAGTCCTACAACGGTCACTCAGACCTCTTGCAGCCCATCAAGAGCTAGATGACCATATGCTTCCCATTCCTGTTCACAACTCGTATTTTCCATTACTAAAGCTGCCCTCACTTCTTATGTTATAAACAGTGCTAGAATTTCCCATGTGAGGTTATGAAACCGCAAACAGGAGGAGGTAGCTCAGACCTCTGAATGTTACCCAGAACACAAGAGAGTGCACCACTTTTTTGTGAGTTCATCACGGAAACAGAAGGGCCCTGCCCACAGGCAGAAAGAACTAAGCTTCACTACACATTGGTGCTGCAAATGTGCTTTTTTTAGACCCAAGTTAAGCAGACTCATGCTCCTAACTCAACAGACACCCTGGCTGCTATACCAGTAGCAGCTGAGGGCAGAACTCAACCACTTGCACAAATGTTTGCCTTCCTGCAAGGTGGAAGCCAAGACTTCTCCTATAAGAAGGCAGGGTAAACTTGCACTTTACAGACTCCAGTAGATTAGATACAATACACAAAGTGTGAGTGTGAGCAAGATCAAAAGCTCACTATGGGACAGGTAGTGGAGGGAAATGCAATTCCATGCCCCACCAAAACTTTCCTGAAATAAACCTCAGCCCACAAAAGCATGTGCTGTACACCAGAGGTGCTCAACCTGCATCAGGGCATCATGCTTGCTGGGCTCCCTGTGGGCTAGGAAACTGGGCAAGGGAACAGTGGCAAGTTATTCTGCAACCCTTCCCCTACTGCCAAGCCCTGCGCAGGTGGATGGGGTCTGGGCCACCTCCCCTCCCACAACGCAGCCAGCCCAGGCCCAACCTCATCACCCCGTGGCTCGGACACTTAGCACTGCCCGTCCCGTCCCGTCCCGTCCCGGAGGGGGGGGCTAAGCACAGCGCACGTAGGAGCACAAGTAAACACGTGCGAACCTCTCGCTGCCTTCAAGCGCCCGAGGCCGGCCCCGCCAAGAAAACCCCCCGCCCCGGGCCTCTTCCCCGCCGGGCCGCACCTGCAGGGTGGTGATGTGCTTGTCGTTGAACTTGTTCTCGCAGTAGCGCAACACGAGCGAGGTCTTGCCCACGCAGCCCTCCCCGAGCAGCACCACCTTGAACGAGAAGCTGCGGCCACCGGGCGCCGCCGCCGCCATCCGCGCACCAGCTCCGCCCACCGCCGAGCCGCGGCCTCACATCAGCGGCACCGCCGCCGGCCCTGGCGGGGACCCGGGAAACGCGGCCGGGAGAGGCGGGGCGGGGCTCAGCCACCGCCGAGAAAACAAAACACGAAATGCTACCCTCCCGCCACTACGGGCCCGCTGCCTCTAATGGCGTCTTCTTCCTCCTACGTCACGCGGCGCTGCGTCACGCGACCCGCCGCAGCCAATGGGAGGGGCCGCCGCTACGTTCTGGGGGGCGGGGCTCGGGCCGCAGGGGAGCTGCGGACGGGAAACAGAGGGGGCGGGGCACTGTCCGGCCCTGCCTTGTGTCCCTGCGCCTGCGCGAAGGCTGTGGGTCCCGCCTAGCCTCAGGCGGCGTAATCTCGGTACCGTATTTTCTCGCATATACGCGCACCTTACCGCTAGCCCCAAACGTTGCGGGCGGGATGCAGCATATGCGAGAAAAAGGGCTCCCCACAAGTGTGGAAATTTGTGCGTGGAGGAGAGGTGCAGTACTAATTGATGCAGCTCTGCCAGCCACAGCCATAGATGCTACCACTGCTCCCTCCCTTCTGTCCCAATCACAAACTTCTCGACTCCTGTGGAGCCCCACTCCACACTTTTCCCCAACCTCACACGCAGGTTCAACCCAGTACATGGCACCCAAGCCAGAGGGTAAGGTCGCACCTGGCAAGTAACTGTAGCCTGCCTGCTGGATTGAGCCATGCAGCACTGGCACCCATGAATTGAATCAGGCCACATTACCCGACCTGTTGGATAGGGCCCTCTTGACCCACTCGGCGCCAGCATGGCTGTGCTGCGATGGGCCCTGGCACGCAGCCCCCAGCCTGGGCATGTGGCCTCCAGGCCTAAGCTCCTGGCACTCAGCCACTAGCTCCATCAGACCTTTACTACTTGGGCTCCAGCTACACGTTACATATATTACGCAATGAACTGGTTAATCCCACAATAAATTTAGGCCAACTGCATGTGCAAAGTAATTATCACACCATACACATGACTCTCCACCTATGAAAAAGCCCACCAGCTACAAAGGTAGTGCTTGAAAACGTGTAACTCTATAGTTGGTCTCTATCCAGGTTTAATGTGAACGTGTAGCGGGACCCCTACCCATACTCCAGGGTAAGATGCTTTCTCTTGGGGCCCTGCAAAATAAGGGTGTAGGTTACATTTGGGGATGGGGACGTGTGAAAAAAATAATGGTAATTCTGGTAATTCTTCATACCGGTTTCCAGCGTAAGTAGGATCTTGCCCAGTTCTGACATTCTAATATAACAAACTCCTTAGTCTGTCTGTCTGTAACGCTCCGGGCCAACTGCACATGTGCCGCCAAGAGAGCATGCACTGATGGGCTGCGAGGGCCTGGAGTGTTATGGACAGAGGGAGCAAAAGAGCTGCTCTGCTGCCTCTCCCCAGCAACAGCCAGCAGGGAAGGGGAGGCAGCAGGGAAGAGGGGAGGAAGGGAGGGAGAGGAGCGGGAAAAGGAAGTGGGGGGTTCCAGTGGCAGTGCCCCCCAGTGCAGCACAGCCCAGCCCAGCAGCTGCAAGCAGGCAGTGTCTGCCACTCCCAGAGCTGCAGCAGGGACAGGAAATTGCCTGCAGCGGGATGAGAGCAAACTGGGGGTAGCAGTGGCACCAGGCTCTTCCTGGCACTCAGGGTGGGCCATGGCGATGGGAGGGGGGCTGCTGCCACCCCAAAATTCACCATAGCCCCCCGCAACCTGCTCTCCCAGTGCTGCTGCCAAGCGCCGGCCTGAGCCTGCAGCAGCTGCCGTCCCCAGCCTGCTCTCATCCTGCTGCAGGACTCACTGCTGCCGAGCGCTGGGAAAAGCCTCGTGCAGCTGCCAGACCCAGCCTGAAGTGGCCACCAGCCCCAGCCTGCTCTTGTCCAGCAGCAGGTGGCTGCCTAACCCTGCTGCAGCCCTGGGAGTGGGCAGATGCCACCTGCTTGTAGCTGCTGGGCTGCACTGCGGTGGGGGACTTGAGGCATGGTGCAGCCCAGTGGCTGCAGGCAGCTGGCGTCACTTGCTCCCAGGGCTGCTGCAACAGGGGTTGAGGTGAGTGAAACAAATGGGGTGAGTGGGGCTTCCGCCCACCCCTAGCACCATGAAGAGCCTAGTGCTGCCCCTGCTGCAGCCCCAGGAATGGCAGGCACCACCTACTTGCAGCCACTGGGCTGCGCTGCGCCACTCTCCCCATCCCTTCCCTGGCCCCAGCCTCATTCCCTCCCTCCCTCAGGGCCCTGGGAATGCTTCCCTATCTGTTTCATTGTAAACTGGGTTTGCTTTATACAAATTTGATTTATGTGCCGTTCTCTGGGAACGCATCTACCATATAAATTTTGTTAATTTGCTCTGCAAATTCATTGCGTCTGTTTTCAAACAGTGCATTCAACTTTTTCTGCTACTCTTCCATTAGCTTTTGTGTAGCGGCACACATCTGGCCAGGTATGTAGAACAGATGGGGCCTTGTCCTGGTTCGTATATATTTAATTATTTTGGCATTATGTTCATTCCATTCTTGCAACTGAGCAAGTTCGACCTTTTGTTCCAATAGCCGCAATTCTGTTTGTTTAGCATGTCTTTCTTCAAACAATTCTCGCCTCTCGTTTTCAACTTGTTCAAGGGAAACCTGTACTAAAGCACGGTGACGTTACTGCAGGCAGTTACTGCACCATGAGCACGGTGCACGGTTAGATTTCACCACTACATTGCTGTAGCAATGCACTCTACCGGGGCAGCGTGCTGCTACGGTGACATAGCTGGTGATCATGTATAGACCTGTGTGATTGCTACATCGCTGTAGCGTGCCATACAGTGACATAGCATGTCACTACGTCACCATAAGGAAATGTGTAGATGTGCCCAATGCACAGCAAAGGGTACCTGTAGACCGCATGGCAGGGGGGAGGGCAAAAGTGTCTAAGCAGGACATAGAAAACAAATAAATATGACCCTAAACCTGGTCTCTCACTCCATGTAATGGACTGCTCTGTGCATGTCCTTTCACAGCATCTGATGAAGTGAGCTCTGGCTTGTGAAAGCTTATGCATCTCTGATTTAGTTAGTCTATAAGGTGCAACTCTGCCCTGCCTTCTGCCCAAGCCAGCAAATATTAAATTAAGAGCAATGGAGCTACTCAAGTGGATAAAATTCTGCACATGCTGAAGGCTTTGCAGGATTCAGTCACATCTGTGGGCTTTAAACTGGGGCTATAAGAGAGGAAGGGAATGTTAATAGCCAGAGTTAAGAGGCAATGGAAGATACTACTGTTTCTTCAGATTTCCTTACCACAATGGCTGTTCCCCTGAGAGGGTACCTAGTCTCAATAATTAGGTCACTATTTTGTAAAACTGAACAGCACCCCACAGTTAAGACATTATTTATATTATCCAGACTCAGGTACAGCAATATAACTTCTCCAGTGACCATTTGGTGGCAAGGAAAATAAAGTCCATGACAAGACATCATGCTGCAATTTCTTTTCTTCTCTGTCAGATAATGTGTGAAGGAACCAGGAAAAAACAGAAAGTGCTGGAAAGGGGGACAAAGACCAAATTTCCTCGAGCCTGGAATCTCCTGGCAAACTGAGTTGCTTTCATGCATGAAACTGGTTTCTTTTTAAACACTTTTTAAAATTTCCTAATATAAAATAAATAGGAAAGGTAAGAAATCAATGCAGAGAAAATCTTTTAAGGTATCTCTTTAATAAGTTCCTGGTTTTATTTCAACAAGTTATTTAAAACATACCATTATGTTGGAAAGCACTATTTACAATCAGGCAAATATTTTTGATCTATAGGCAAATGCAGACTTCTTTATAGCTCACAGGCAAACAAACTTTCAGGCTGCATTTAGGCTGCATGGGAGAAGCAATTAAACTTTCTGGAGTAACATAGCTAGAGATGATGGAAGTCACCAAGGCATGTAGGTCACGTTAACAGCTCAACTGCTCAGGATGACAGGTTCCATGGAGAATTGATTGAAAACACAGCAATTACAGCACTTACTGTTACAACTGCATTTCAGAGGCTGAATGTAAACAGAAGAAAGGCCAAGAGAAAGTTGTGGAAAGTTGGCAGAAAGCCCAAGAATTAGTTGTGCATATTGAGGGAGGAAAAGCCAAGCTCCTTAGGTAATGGGACTGGCTGGAAGGGCAAACTTAGAACTCCTTTCTCCCGTTTCTTCCTACTGTGATCTGAGAAACCAGAATCTGCTGTATATACACCAAAATATGCCTGACTCATATTGCATGTTTCTCCTATGAATAAAAACAAATCAAGCAAAGTCCCAGGTACTGACAAAGCCTCTTGAGCTAAAGAACAGTATTTTTGGTTCTTTCTGTATATGTAGTTTGTCTTGTATACTGAACAAATGAGTCTGTCAAGCAGCAAATCAGTCAAAAAATTGGAACCTATGAACCGTTGTTGGAGGTTGTGAGACAAAGGAAGCTGCAGTGGTTTCGACACATGATGAGAAGGCTGGACACGTTTGCCAACACCATAATGCAGGGTGCAGTGGAGGGAAAGAGAAAAAAAGGTAGACCCAAGGGTCGCATCCGCGAGAGCAAGCACATGCCTATTGCAGCATCTCAAACAGCTTGAGACACTGCAAATATGCAGCACATACTCTAAGTCTGATACTGGGAAATCCTGGTATCAAAAGAAAACACACCAGAAAAAGTGGCTCAGGGCATGCTCCTGGAGTGTACCCTGAAGCAACTGGAGGCTGAGTCCTCCAAAGAGATGCTCAAGCACCCGGCCAGAATGTCACTATGCCTGCCACGTGCCCTTGCTGCTCACCATGCTGCAGGAAATAGAAGCAGGGCAAGGCTGGCAGTAGTGGCTAGGACCCAGGCCTCTGTCCCCGGTAAGCTGGGATGCCAGGTGGGGGGGAACTGTAGGGGTGT